TCACATTTTGCTTGTAATTTTTGAAATAGCAATGGTTTCTGATTAAGAAAAAATATCGGCCACAATATTGCCTGACATCATCAAAATCCAACATACTTATATACAAAATAATAAAAAAGGTTAATATCGATTGCACCGACGCTAAAATATCCTTCCCAGATGCACTTCTTATATCAACTATATGTACAGGTAAATCTGAAAACGCAATCGGCCAACGGTTTGCATCAAAATGTTTTGCCAGTTCTATCTAGCCATGTTGTTTTATAATAACAGTCATCAAATCGTATTAAGGTTACTTCATAACGAAAAAATTTACCTTTTATGAAGATCTTTACCTTGATTTTAACCGGCTAGTTTGAATATGCTACATTGGTCAGCTCTGGACAATTTATACAGAGATTGTAGCATTGCCTTAGACAATATTCCATGCCAAATTTCATGAAGACATGAAATAAAAAAGTTTTCTGTACATGAACTCCATATTTATCGATAATTTTGTATGACAGCTATATTCAATAGCGGTCCGATATCAGCGGTTCCGCTTCTTGGGGAGGAAAAAAGGTGTACAAAGTTTCAGATCGATGTTAATTAAGAATTAAAATTTAGGTGAAAGAGTAAGAAGAAAGAGAAAGAAAGATAGCGTAGGGTGCCACGAGGGAGCGCGACATTATTTCTAACATATCCTTAGAAAATCTAATAATTTTAGCCAAGCTTATACGCCGAGATGTGTATTAATCAGCAAAAAGATTCAGAATTCGTTAGAATGCCACCAGATGGGATGGGTCATTAAAATATTTAATCAGTTATTGAATTGTCCTTATTGTGAAACAATTAGACAAAGACATACATATAAACAAACATATGTACATATGTATATATACTTTGATCCATCTTTAATTTCGACTAGACATTTGTTGCAACTTTGACCCAAACGCAATGAGAGATAATGAATTTAAAACAATAAATTAATTATAATTTGATTTGCAATAAAATGGAAAATTTTGAACCGGATTGTCTGTATAAACAATCTTGAGCGATTGTTGCTGAAAATGTCAATCATTCTATATAAAAAAAAAATGATGATCTATTGTCAAAACAAAATTTTGGACTTTAGCAGGTTTCCCATTAAGCGCGTTCGAATGTATTGCTTAGAAAGTCTTTCCTTTAAGTTTAAAAATTATTAATTTTAAAGCAGATATTATAAAAAATTTGTCGTATTTTTAAAGAATTATTTATTTTTTTTAAATATTTTGTTATGGAATGTAAATGAAAAAAATTTGTATAACATTTTTAAAGAATTATATTTAAAATGTTTTTCTGTTGAAAAAAACATGCAGATATCAATAAACAAAACTCTTTTTTACGAACCTCTAAAATAAACTATACTCTTATCAAAAAACATTCTTATGTATAAGTTTGTAGTGTCTAATTTTAATTATAAGCTGGTGAACGCATGATAATGGAGTTATTCAATATTTCTTCTATGTAATTATTATAGATTTTTTCGTGTACCTTTAAGCATATCTATTATTCAATTTCAAAACTTTTTTCCCCAATTATCTATATATTAAGAATTCAATTTTAATACTGAAGGAAAATTCCAGACATAATACTATTAAACCATTCTTATCAACAGTATTATTTTGTAAAACTCATGCATATTGATATATATTCGTATATTTTAAGTGTAAATAAATTGATTAGCAGCTTTTTATGAATAATTTTAGTCAATTTGAATTAACAAAGAACAGTATTTTTTTTTTGTTTTTTTATAAAGGAAGTGCTGGTAGGCAAATAGGGCTAGACAAATCATCTGAGTCAGTGGTTTTGAAAACAAGGTGAATTCATTTTTGAGCTATCTAAATCTCATAACATAGATAATTAAGTCACAACGCCTTAAAGTTTAATTTACGCAAGCAGCTCACTCATACAAAGGAAGTAAACAAATACTTTAACTTTGTTTAATTTAATTATATATTTTATTTTGCTTTTGCTTTTAGTTTAGAGAAAAATTGTCAAATAATATATTTAAAAAAATTGCGCAAAATTTTCCAGTAAGGCTTAATTATAAAAATTTTCTATAAAAAATTAAAAATTTTATTTTATAAAAGAGTTTTTTTTTTATATTTAATTAAACAAAAAAGTGATTCAACCTAAAAAACAATTAATTTCGTTTTTTTTATATTTTATTTTTTACAAAAAAGGGTTCTTTTCGCAAAGTTTGGTGCAAACTTACCTTTTATTTTCAAAAAAAGTATTAAAGCGTAAAAGCTTAGTTTACCTCAAATTTTATGAAAGAAAACATTTTTTGTAAAAGATAAAAACAAAAAACTCGATTATATAAATTGTTCACATAAATGGCGAGATTGTTTGAAAAAAGTGGGAATACAAAAGTTATAGATCTTTTCACTACCTACAACTTAGCTACTTTTTTCATAAAACTTGTAAGTTTTTTTGGGAAGTCGAGATACAGTTTTTTTACATCCCTAAAGACTTAACCCTCCTTCTTCCACTTCAGCTCTCCTGAATATTCTTTTTCCTTTCATTATACCCTAACCAGGGAATATTAAGTTTGCCACGAAGTTTGTAACGCCCAGTACGCAACGTTGCAGACCCTATTAAAGGTATATATAAATGATCAGCATGATAAGCTGAGTTGATTTCGCCATGTCCGTCTGTATATATGAACTAGTCCCTCAGTTTTTAAGCATTCGATCTAAATTTCGCGCCTGTCCCTTTCTTACAAAGAAGCTGCTCATTTGGCCGAACGGCCGATATCGGACCACTATAGCATATAACTGTCCTTAAAAGTGAACAATCCGAATCAATTACTTCTATGGGAAACCTTTTTATTTGACGATATCTTCACGAAATTCGGTTATTTTCTAAGGCAACAATGTAATCTCCAAAGAAATTGTTTAGATCGGATCACTATAGCATATAGCTGCCATACAAACTTTACGATCGGAATCAAGTACCTGTAAGGAACCTTTGTATTTTTGAAGGGTATTATAGCTTCGGTGCAACCGAGGTTAACGTTTTTTATTATATTTTCTTCCTTTTCCAATGATATTCATGCAATAATTTTTGTTTTTTGATTTCAAATATTATAGATACTGGTGTAGAAGAAAATAAATACTATTGCCAAAAAAAATTTAAAAATTTCCAACTCTCATTTTAAGCTGTTCAAATTAAAACAAATAATGATAATATTTAGTTTCAAGATATAAAAGTTAGTTATCTCTGTATTGTGTATTTAATACCAAGTAAAATTATTTCCTTAACGTTTTTTTCACGCGCATAATTAATTGTGTAACTGCATTATATAACACCTGTAAAAAATCGTTTAAGATTTATTCTAAAGTTCAATAGAAACAGCAAAGGTTGTAGTCATTGTTGACTGCACGTTTAGTCACGAGATACATAGCAAGTACTTTCACGTTTGTATTTAAGCACGCGTACATCTATGGCTTTATATTAAGCGGGGTCGATTTTGCCCGACGCAGAAAATTAACACATAGAATTAGAAATTAAAGAAATAAAAGCAACTATGGAAAATTTTGATTACTGATTACGGATTTTAATGCTTGTGATCTTTGCCCATAGCTATGTGTGTATATACATTCTTATGTATGTACATATTTCAGCATGAATGCCCAATACAACATTTTTGGCGGGCTGACGTAGATAATATTTATGGTAAATTTTGTATTAATTGCTTTGCTTAGCATAAGTTAATTTTTGTTATTTAATAATTTACAAAACTTGAAAACAGTAAAGTTGCTTATAAAAATCCAAATATTGCTATTATAACATAATTTAATAGGATCTATGTAATTTTATCTATTTGGTGTAAATCTTCGTATATATTTGTTCTATAATTTTTCAGCACAATTTAACATATTTTGTGCCATAAAATAGTTTCGAAAAATACGATTTTATGCTTAGTTATTCACCAAAAGAGGGGGAGAGAGGTTTAAAACCTTCATGTTTTCGAACCTAAAAATTCGAATAAATATTATAGTATGTTAGGAGAAATACTATAAAATAAAAGCTGGTTAAAACAATAGTTTCATATAAAAAAAATATTTACTAACTGAAAACGATTGAAACATTTTTTTTCAAGAACTTCTAATTATCTTTTATATAAAAAATAAATTGGCTTCATTTTTTCATACAGCATAAATTTTTATGATAATTCCATTTAAAAACCTTTAAATAACTTTTTATTAATTTATTCTTTCTATAAATTTTGGATGTGATTATATACAACTAATAAAATAAAAACAAACAGCAATATTTCTGTGCCTTGCGGCTTTCGTAATTTTTATATCCTCAAAAGGGTATATTAAGTTTGCCACGATGTTTGTAACACCCAGAAGTAAACGTCGGAGAACATAAAAAATATGTATCTAAATGACCAGCATGGCGAGCTGAGCCAATTTTGCCATGTCCGTCTGTCTGTCTGTATATACGCGAAATAGTTCCTCAGTGTTTGAGATATCGATATTAAAGTTAGCACACGTCCTTTTCTCTACACTAAGCTGCTCATTTGTCGGAATCGCTGATATTGGACCACTATAGCGTATAGTTGAACTGAATGATCGGAATCAGGTGCTTGTATGGAAAACTTTTCTATTTGACAAGATATCTTCATGAAATTTGGACCGAATTATTATGCAAGTCAACAGTAAAATTTCCGAAGAAATTGTTCAAATCGGACCACTATAGCATAAGTATAGCTGCCATGCAAACTGGCTGTGAATGGTATTATATAATAGTTTCCGTGCAGCCGAAGTTAATGGTTTTTCTTTATTTTAATTTACCTTCTGGTATTTTATAATTTTTAATTAATTTAAGGGTTCAATAATATAACGTTTTGATTGCTTGAGCATATTCTTTCGTTTCTTTATGTAAATAGTACATTTATTACCAAACTTTGAATTTCATTTTGTATACATTTTAATCGATTTTTGAGCCCAACTATCGATACTTATTTGTTTGAAAATATTTATAACTAAAATTTTCCTCCAATAATTTATTTTACTCGTTAATTAAAAAGCACATGCCTAATGTACATATCTATATATGCATGTATATATGTATATGTTTCGTGCATGCATAATACATATTTACATATTTACAGCTAACATTTAACCACATGAAACAAGCAAATGTGCGCTCAAAGTCGTGTTTATGCAACCGATCGGCATTTAATGCCATATAAGTGAAATCGCCAGCAATGCAGCATGCATTATGCGTCAACTGTCCGTCTGTCGACTGCCGCTATAGCGAGCGCCTATCTGGCGAACAAATAATCACTTTGCACAATCGCACGCGACAAAGCGCGACATAGAAGATAGATAAGGTGTAAGTAAATGTTATGATTTAATTTTTTCCGCTTTCTATGTACACACTCACATACTTTTATATATGACAAACAGATTGTGATTGTTTGCCTTGGGAGAATGTTTAACCTTCAAACCAATAAATACACTAGATCTGTGTAATAGAATGTGAACTTGGCTTACCATTTTCAGCGGTGTAACCCCAGTGGTGTGAGCTCATTTTTCCGACGTTTCGAGGGTGGAACTTTTTTTTTATTTAACTAAACTGCCGTAAATATTAGTACTCTGTAAGGAAACAGACACTTTCTCAGCAAAAACAATCAAACAAATCACTTCTACAATATCAACAACCGCAATCAACCGCAATAAATAACAATAATAGTACAAATAGTTACGCCGGGCAAACGAAAAATAAAAACGTTTTAGAGAAAAAAACAAAACTGGGAGCAGTTGTTGTTTGATATTTTGTTTCTTTTCACGACGACGGATGAGATGTTGTTTATTTGAGAGCAGCAACAAGTGAATTGAATTGAATTGCTTGATTTCAGTTAGCTTTAATACCGCTTAATAGACTCTTACGAGTATTTAGGTGGCGTCGTGTGATCAATGGAAAGTACAAGTAGAAGTAGAGAGCCGCGTTTACGTTTCGTTGAGCGACGGAACACAATGTGCTAAAACGTCTCACACGTTTGTCTGCCTAAAGAAGACTGTGCTGATTGTTGAGGGTTGTGTGCCGTTGTCTGCTTGCCGATATGAATTAAAAAACTAAGTCAGTCACATACATCCAGTCAGTCAGCCAATCGGCTAGCCTGCTAGTCAGATAGTCTGGCGTTCGTTTGGGCGCGCTGGAATATTGAACATATGTATGTAAGTATATTTAGAATCTACCTGCTACATCCATGCATTTGTATGAATTTATTTACATATACACATATATATTTGTTTGTGTGTATGCGTATATGCTTATAGGCGGAAATGCGGGCGAATAACCGAATGACTGCTCTTACCCTCGGCGAGCATGAAACAAACGTGCTGCGCAACGCGCAGTAGCAGCGACAGTGTTTCGGAAACGCATCGCATACGCTTTCGTGTCGTGGGAAGAAGCGTTGGACACGAGACAGCGTAAGTCTCAACGAGAGCAAAAGCTAGCAGTTAAAAGTGTGCTTCTGCATTGAAGAACTTCGGTTACGAACGAAATCGACTTGTTTGTTGACAGCAGCGCGTCGGAACGCAATCGTAATTATACCATTTACGCATTACATAAAGCTTAATAGTATAAACGACTTAAATGTACGTTAGCATGTGTATAAATATGTTAAGCTAGTATATTTTCAGCATCTCATAACCGCTGTTGTTGTACGTCATACCATGAATGAAGTAAACAGAGCGCGCAGTATGTTGTATTAACATTAAAGGACAAACTTCTAAGTTCAATCCTTGGCGAATATATCCACTTGTGAATTTCAAAATATCAAATTTTTTTTTTGTTAATATGCAAGTTGAATGTACAGATATTTGGAAAATTCTAAGAAAAGCAAATAAATTTTAAGTTTATCCGGCGAATAGTTTCGGAGATGTGAGCGTATTTGCAAATAATAATAATTTTTGAGCTGAAAAATCAAAATTTTGTCTATATTCTAATAATTCTTTTGGTTTTTGGTTTTGATATAATTTTACGCACCTCACCGCCAGAAACCTTTTTTCGGAGGTCCTCCTGGATATCGGCTACGGGAATCCTATTTTTTCAAAATAAATCACCGATTAAAAAAGTATATTTAATTCTGTAAAGGTACATTTTTTTTATTTATTTATTAAATTTCATTTTCAAAAAATCAAACATTTATAATGGCTTAAACTAGGCATTGCGGTAGAATAATAAAAAAGTACGTCCTGTAAAATCCACTGTAGTGTTGAAGCGTTAGGGACAGTCAGTTCTGAAAGTAAACTTTAAACGCTTTTTTCTCAAAAATGCATTCGTCAAATTGGATGGTACCCGATAACTATCGCACTTATTCACTTATTTAACTGTAGCTTCAGAGTAATATTATATAATATTATCCAGAAACTTTTTTATGAGTGATTTACTGCTAATATTTTCGGTAAAAAAATGTAATTGAAACATTTTGCGAAAAAACTGATGTAAAGGTTTATAGCTTAGTTTATAGCTCCTTAGTAAATAAAAATCCCGGTTTTTATACCCTGAATAGAGACTATTAGTATGCCACGAAGTTTGTAACAACCAGAAGGAAACGTTGGAGACACTATAAAGTGTATGTATATATAAATGATCAGGTTGACGATCTGAGTCGATTTAGTTTTAGAGATATCGATAGAAAATTTTGCAAACGTCCTTTTCTACCCAAGACACAAACAAATTAATCGATTACATTCTTGTATGGAAAACTTTCTTATTTGACTAATTATCTTCACGAAATTTAGCAAAATTCAACTTTTTTTGTTTTACTAAACTGTTTTCTAAACTGTTTTTACTAATTTTACGTCGCTAATTTCAAATCTACCCTCAGTTTCTTTCTAGCAGCTCTAGTTTTAGTGATACAGGTACTTTTAGAAATATCGTTACTCGGCTTATTTAAATTAATTTTTAGGGCAAAAAATTACTAAATTTCATAAATAACCGCTTTGTCTACATTAAGAAGAACTTGTTTAAATGATTCAAATAGTTTACATTCAGGTCAACAAAGAGGATATACCAAATAACCCTGTTTCACGTGCTTATGGGATAGCCGAGCCAAGACAGAACACTGGACTAAAAAAGTTTGGACTTTGAGAGTGAATTCAGTACCGGGTATTATGAAGGTGATGGATGCTCCTATAGTAGCCAGAGACCACAATATATTACCCCCTCTTCATATAAAATTAGGTCTGACAAAACAGTTTGTAAAAGCACTAAACAAAGATGGGGAATGTTTTGAATATATCAGTAAAAATTTCCGAAATTGAGCTCAGAAAAAATTAAAGTTGAAACTAATAGAGGACAAACATTTTACTGATTGTATGACAGATAAGGAGAAATCTGCGTGGATTGAATTTATTTGGGTTGTGTAAAATTTCTTGGTCTCCAGACTAAAGGCCATAGGCATCTCACATGAAAGAGTAGTTCATATTTTAAATGGAGAAAGGTACGCACACGTTAACAATTCAACAAAAACTGGATCGAAAACAAATTTCTCAGCATAATTTGGAGCGTTTTAAGCAGAATAAAACCGATTTCCAGCGTCGTTTTATAACTATGGATTAGACTTGGATCAACCACCATGATCCTAAATTGAAACAAAAACGTTTACAGTGGACTGAAGCTAGTTGTTCAGCTTACAAGCAGGTGAAGTTAGAACGATCACGAAGGAATTTTGTTGATTGATTATCTGCAGAAAAGTAAAACAAAAAACTCTGAATATTATTGCAATCTTTTGGATCAGCTGGATGAAAAAAGACCTGGTTTGCAGCACTAAATAAATCATTTTTCATCACGGCAATACCATTCACAAAGGTGTTTAAACAATGACAAAGTTCAACGAAATAAAGTACGAATTGCTTGAGCACCCAACGTATTCATCAGATTCGGCTACCGCGACTACTACCTCTTCACAAACCTGAAACAATTCCTTCGTGGAAAGCGTTTTTCGTCGAATGAAAAAGCTATTACAGCCGCAGACGGGTATTTTTCAGAGTTTCCAGAAAGTTATTATAGGGATGGCATAAAATTATTGGAGAATCATTGGAATAAGTGTGTTAAAGTTAAGGGTGATTATATTGAATAAAAATATATATTTCGTACCAAAAACAGTATTTTTTTCATTTCGAGCGCAGAAACTTTTCAACATACCTTTATCATCATAAAACAAAACTACTATTTCTCAGTATTATTGTTCAAGGCAACGCTACAATCTCTGAATATATTGCTGAGATCGGAAAACTATAGAAATAGATTTCATACAACCTGACCTATCAAAATCAAGATGAAGGCCGTCATAAAAGGTATTCTTTCTTTATTAATTGATCTTAGTTCGTCTTGAAGCTTATTTATATCAAACAACGTGGCTAGAAAGAAGACTGGCAAAATGTTTTCCGTTAGCCAGTTACATTTGCAAATTTAGTTATTCATATGTTATCGTAGCTATAAGAAATGCACCTGTGAAGATTAATATAGCTTCGGCGCAGCCAAAGTTACCGTTTTTTCTTGTTTTTATGTTTCACATAGCCCGAATCACCGCCGCCCATCGAGATCTTCTTAAAAAAATCATATAAAATTGCAAGGAAGAAATTTGTTACATCTAAAATAATCATTATATTGATGAAACCACATACCATCGTAAATTGTGCTAAATTTATTTAGTAAATTTTTGATTTTAAAAATCAGAAAAAGTTGTTATGTTAAACTAAAAAAAATCTTCAATATTTAACTAAAAATTACTTATACACGCTTAGACGTTCAAGGCATAGACTAACCGTCCTTGGCAATAATTAACCTTTGTGTGCTCGTTTTGCTTCATTGATCATTACAGGCCTTGATTACAATGTTCATTTATACAAGAAAAAAAGTACATTTTGTTTACACCGATATGCTTTTATAATACCCTACACAATTAAAAAAGTTTCCATACAAGAACTCGATTTTTATCGGCCAATTTGTATGGAAGCTATATGCCATAATCGTCTGATATGAACAATTTATATGAAGATAACAAGCTATGCCAAATATCGTGAAAATATATTGTCGAATAAAAAAGTTATCCATACAATAACTTAATTTTGATCGTTCAGTTTGTATGACAGCTATATGCTACTTTATTGGCCCGATACCGACGGTTCCGCAAAAATGAGCAGCTTCTTGAGGAATACAGGACGTGTGCAAAATTTCAAATCGATATCTCAAAAACTGAGAGACTAGTTCCCGTATATACAGGCAGACGAATATGGCTAAATTTCCTCAGCTCGTCAAGCTGATGTGTGTATATAATTTATAGGCCTTCCTATGTTCAAGGTATAAAAATAAGTTTTATGTCGCAGTTGTTGAATGCGCGACCACCGCTGGTTGGCTTGTAGGTTCCAATTCCAGCCGTGTTCAAATGTAAAATTATAGAAACAATAGAGAAGTAAATATACTTATATACTAGAACAAATAATATTCGTCCATCTGATAAAAACTATCGGATCGCAGTTTTAAGCAGTTAATTTTTATAGTTGTGGCGGTTAGGTTAGAAAATTGGTTTATAGTGTTTGGTTAGCATTTATCTGGCTCTAATTCGGCTACGTTGACCCGACTGTCGTGCCGATGCAAAGCTTTTTGAATTATTTAGTCAATTTATTAAATTTGTATATCATAATTAACATCATTATTCTCATTCAGTTAACTTCGCTTGAAGTTTGGTGTAAAATATGGGGATTTACCGATGAGACATTTAGGTATTTAACTTTATTATTCCAGGTTTCAGGTATGTATAGAGCAATGTGTCTAAGTGTCTAAATTTAAAATTAATTTATAAGTAAATATGGTGTATGGTAATTTGACGAGTAAGTAAGTGTGAATTATAAATATTGGTCTCTTTATATTGTATTTCAACATCATGAAGGGTCGAAATGATGTTAACATAGAAGGAAGTGCTAAATGTATTATTGTGTATTATATACACCCAAATATTTTATAATATTGCAACTTACAATAGAAGAATCAAACCCGGCAAAATACCTTCAGGTGTTGGAGAATCTTTATTTTATACAAGTAAAGAAGGCCTAAGCTCAGGTGTAACCGATAATTTTATACTCTCGCTTAATACGGAATCACGGTATATATTTATATTAAAAATCAGATAATAATCACGCCCACTCCCTATATAACACTATGTTGAAAATTACTAAAAGTGCGATAACTCGCAGAATAAAAGAGACACAGCCATTAAGTTTCCAGACACCAAATATGTGGGCATCAGAGAATTTTTTTGTGATGCCCTTGCGCCAACAATTGGTAATATCGGGCTCCCATATACCTAACATAAATAAGAAGATTAGGTATACCCTTATGTCAAAAATGGGGTCAATACTTCTCTTAGCTCCCATATACCTAATATAAAGAATAGTTTGGTGCTAAAAATAAATTAAATTGTGTTTTTAATATTGCCAATACCTGTAAGAATTTCCCCGGTTTTGATCCTTGTAAGTTAAAAGAGTATACAATTTTTGGTTACACAAGATCTTGACCCTTCCTTACTTGTTCTTGCTTACATTGTATTTTTTTTGATCCTCCAGTTTTTTAATCGTATGAAAAATGTAATTTTGGTGGGCCAAAAATCATCTAATTTTTCATATTTAAAGTCCACCATTTTGTTATATTTTAATTTAACCTTACAGAATGATAATTTTATAGTTTGAATGTCTTATGCCAAAGAGAAGGCCGCAATCACTGCAGCAGTGAAGGACTTTTTTAGTAGCTTGGCAAACTCGCTTAAAATGTATTAATTTTTATACTCTGAACAGGGTAAATTAAGTTTTCCACGAAGTACGTCGGAGATCCTCCAAAGTATATATATAACTGACCAGCGTGATCA